CCCGCCAATAGAGGGAGCAGCCCGCCAGCCAAGCCCTCAATCCCGGTGCTTCTCTTAACACCACCAAGAGAGCGGACTTGCAAAAGGGCTTTTCCTCTAGTAAAAAAAAAATAAAAAAATCTCACATGCTACGGAACTTTGAGGACAACGTACATACGCTGCATTCAAATGTATTTTCAACAGGAAAAGGGGGGGGGGGTCCAGTATAACTGCCATTGAAACTCGTTAAATCCCTAAAACCCCCGTCGACTTCATGTTAAACGCAAAAATGGAGGTATCCCGCTGTCTTCGGTCACGTGGCACACGACCTGTGCGCAATTAAACTGAAAAAAACAAAAAAAATCCTCCCCCCCCAACTGTCCCACCAACTCCCCACCGCCCCCCAACACCCTTCTCCTTCCCCACCGCGCATGAACATGTGTGTGTGTGTGTGTGTGTGTGTGTGTGTGTGTGCAGGGATGTGGGGCAACACACCCTGCATCGAAATAAAAGGTAAGCAGCAAAAAAAAAACACAAAACCACCCATTTCATCATCTTTTTCTGTTTTGTTCTTGGTTTTCAGTTTTGTATTTCAAAAAAAAATATATTCAGAGGTCCAAAAATAAAATAAAAATAAAATAAAAATTATGGGGTTGTAGATATCCAAATGGTCTACAAGACTACAACCCTATATTTATTATTTTTTCTTTACACATTTTTTCACACAAAAGAAAAAACCACTCATTTCAATTATTGTTCTTTTCTTTTTTTTACAAAATCATATGGGGACGCATTGACCAAGCCAATACACACAAACATGAAAAGAATTCCAGATGCAGGTGCCGCGAAGTATCCAACCCTTCTCAAGGTGGAGTCCCTCCCTGTAGCAAAAAGCCTCAGCAGCTAGGCAGCTACCAGAGTGGCCTTGGGTCACTTTCCCGGCCAGGCCAAAATAAATAAAATTAAATAAAACTAAAAAAAATATTTTTTATTTTAAACAAGACGTCTGCCCGCTGCGACTGCGGCTGGGACCAAGAGTAGGGGAAAAAAACAAAAATTGCAATTCCGCACCAATGCCCTCTCTCTCTCTCTCTCTCTCTCTCTCTCTCTCTCTCTCTCTCTCTCTCTCTCTCTCTCATCCCGTTCCTGCCCCCGCTGGTCCCTCTTTTGCTCCTCG